TAGGCGTGGTGAAGACCAGCGGGTGAAGCTCCAGCGAGTACCAGAAGTCGGTGGAGCCGCTCTTTGCACCAGTCAGCACGTGGAAGTAGGGCAGACAGTGGGCCTTGCCGGGCTCCACATGGCACGGGTTCCGGTAGTCAGGCGAGAACGGCCGGTAGGTCTGCCAAACCTAACCGGTGGTGGAGGGTAGAACCATGGAGACACAGAAACGAATTTAAGTCGTAGAAAATACTTATTTCACATATCACAGCGCCCTTCATATGATCATTTGCTTTTCATATTTTGTTCGTTCTAGACTGTTCAAAACCGAACCTATAGAAGTTTCAGCTTTAGTGGATGTTGCACCATATAGAGAAAAGCCATGCATGGAAATTTTGGTAACGAAACACGATTTCGTTTAATAACTTCTACGTTTATTAATTTTTCTACATGCAGGGGCGGCGGAACGCTTTTCAAACTGGGGTGGGGGCAACACCAAAAAAGGGGCACTTGCTCAGAAAAAAGGGGCACTTTCCATCGGTGTGAAAGTGGAGGAAAAGATTATGGTCCTGTTCATTTCGCTAATGACGAGGAACAAATTATGAACACGTTGTCCATCTCGCTCTTTGTCTTTCTTATACCTTTTTATGTAGTACCACTTTTTTATCGCAATGGGACACTGTTGCTCTTGATGGCCAGTTCAGTGACATTTTAATTGCGCGAAGAGCACTATTATGTTTTAGGGGCCAGTTTTCCATCTTGAGAGGGGGCCCAATTTTTATGTTGTGAGCGGGGCACTAATTGTGCTTTCGGGGCCAGTTTTTCATTTCGAGAAGTTATCGCGAGAGGAGCATTATTATTGTTTTTTGATGGCCAATTTTCCATCTCGAGAGGGCACAATTTTATTATTGCGAGAGGGGTAGGCCCTATTCGTGCTTTTGAGGGGTAGTTTTCCATCTCGAGAAGGTGCAAAATCTTGTTAATGCGAGACGGGTATTTGTGTTTTTGAGAGGCACTTTTCCATTAAAAGAGACGAGACAATTGTATTTGTAGCGCGATCATTATGCTTTGATACGTGTGACGTTGAGGGGCACTTTTGTTTTCATCTCGAGGGTGCATATTTATAACCGCGAGAGGGGCACTTGGCCTGGAAAAAATTCTGTTATTAAAACTTAGTAAAAACAACCAAGTCTATAAGGATGGAATCAAATGAAGGAATTCGTTTAAAGAAGCAAATACTTTGACTTGCAAAATGTTACCTTTTGTTGGTAGGATTTGATTCTGGCCAGTGTTTTCTCGCCCAGCTCTTCTCTCTCGATACTAGAGTTGTATCGAGCCGCTGGAACCCTCTCATACAATCCGGTCCCGGGATCGATTCTTGCACACGGGTAGTTCTCCACTACGAAGCCCCTTCGCATGGCTGCCTCTGGAATTTCCCCCTGCATCACCACTAGGCACGCGTATTCCGATTCCTGAAAAATCGACCGTCTAGGAATCAGAATGTGGTTGTCGCTGCCGCCATTGCCCTGCCAGGTCTGTATCGAGCTGTCATTGCTTATCATCGATTTCAGGTTTTCGAATATGCGAGTTTTGGTAAAATCGATTCCAGATTGACGTATCTGCTTGACGTTGAATGGTCCATTGGCAAAATGTACCGATACCGACAATCCATTATATCGGGCATAAACGAATAAAGCGAATATCGCCACGCCCAAGCTCAGTAGAAGCACAGTTTTTCGAACAAGCCGATTCTATAATATTCCACAAAGAAAAATACAGATCTTAAATTGTAAATAGCACTTTTGTAAATAGCAGATTAAAGAAATGCAAATCAGACAAACACAAACATATTAGGCTTAAAACAGACGAAAAACATTTCACTGCTACACAAGTCAGTATTAACATTATCACATCCCCAAGCCTTACGAGAAAAAATAGGTATATGAAACCCAAAATGATAAAAACAAATGTGAATCTCGACATTTCTGAAAATGTTAATTGGAAAACAGTTTTTTTCTTGAGCGTGGAAAGTTCAAACCTATAGCTCACCATGGTTGGATGTCTTGTACGTTGTTGATCCGATGCCCTTCTGAACTTGAATTAAAACCGATCAAGGTTTTTGAAAAGTGCTGCAGTAACAATGCTTCGGGCAGTTCTAAGTCAGTTGAATGCCTGTATTGCGGAACAGATTACAGTGCATTTTGTTTTCTAGATCTCATAAACATTCGGCGATAGATGGTGCAATCAAAATGGAACCAGTACTCGAACCTATACTTCAATTCTTCACAAAGTAGCCAGAACACTATAAAGCAAACCATGGTATGGCTGCTGTTATGGGAAGAATTAGAGACATCTTGGTTATGATCAGTTGCATTTATCCCAAAACTAACCAACCGAATTATTGTTAAAGCTTTTAGGCCTACTAGGGTAAAGATCGTACTGCTATACTGAAACCCCGGTGGAATTATTCCGTCTGGTCTGCTGGCATTTCGTCGCAGAGCTGACAAACCGGCGAATCGACCATTTTTGCGATTTCGATTTTTTGTTATTTTTAGGCTTTATGAAGGTTGCTCTTTCAAGTATTTATGCCAAAATTCTTAATATTTGTCTGGATTTTGAGATTCAGAGCCCCCCTTGTGGCGAATCACTCACAAAAACAAATCCATAATTTGACATAGTGACGAATACGAAATTTCGCTGGTAACCAGCTTATGTAAGGTGTGCGTTCCAAGTACCAACGAATGTTATTCGTCAGTTTGTCGGATTGCGCGTGCGTGCACGCGCGATCCGACAAACTGACGAATAGCATACAAACATTTCGCTGGTAACCAGCTTATGTAAGGTATGCGTTCAAAGTACCAACGAATGTTATTCGTCAGTTTGTCGGATTGCGCGTGCGTGCACGCGCGATCCGACAAACTGACGAATAGCATACAAACAGTGTGAAGAACAACCGGATATTGCAGTTTAATGTAATTTGACAAACTGACGAATGCGTTTACGATCAAATAAAATCATATCGCACAACTTCTCTGATTAAATAAGTGACCTGGTGGATACTTAGTTTCATATTTTATTCAGAATATATACTAACAGTTTTTTATCGTAACATTAAGGGTTAAATACGGCGCCCGGAGAAGTGTCCAACTTCAAACGCGAATTACTCCAAACAAGGTTTTCGCTTATTCGTCGGTTTGTCAGCTCTGCGACGATTTAGACGAAATCAAGAAATATTTATGATTTGCAACAATCAATCCATTGAAATCATGTTTGGTAATTCCTTCATCTATGGGTAATCCAAAGTCTGTGCATATTTTTTCCTCTTTTGTCTCGATACGTTGCAATATCTACTGAGCTGAAACTTCTACAGGTAAGGTTTTGAACATTTTTCTTTGGATTTTAGGATTTTTTTTAAAAATGAACAAAATGCATACAAAACACCTTGCCCTATGCCTTAAAACTGGTAGTTTCTCACATAGAGCTATATTAAATTACTATAGCTCTATGGTTTCTCATTAAAAAGACAATCTCGCAAACCTTCACAATTATCGCTAGCGATGCAAGTGCCCGACGAAGGTCGCGCGATGTGAAACAATTGATATGATTTGGACGAGCGTGGTGAGGTTAATTGCTCGCAGTGACTCTGAATAGTCAACTGCTGTATAAGAAAGAATGTGAAAAAGAGTTACGTAACAGCATTCATTGTGTATAGCGCGGTGCATCTTTCGCACAGCTATGAAAAACACAAAGAAACCCTCCCGTTGCAGGAATGAATGGCCACCACAGAATACAATGCTCATCAGTTTAAAAACGCAAAGAGAAAGCACACAATAAAACGGCCTAGCGGTTAAGCTGTCTGACAGCGCACCCAGGGTTAGGGGTTCGAATCCCCATGGTGTCATTTTTTGGTTTTTCAGCGCAAGCAGTTTGGTTATTTAATTCAAGAGTTTTAATTTCCCGTCGTCATTTACCAACAGCAGTTAGCTCGGTCGGTCGGTAAGCTGACTCACAAGTTGGGACTGTCTGCGAAGTCCAGGTTGGCGTCTGCGTATAGGTACGGGGTTCTTTTGCTGACTCGGCAGCAAGGCTTAGGGTGCCACCTCGTTTCCTCCCTTTATGGTGCCTGACTTTCGAGTTACATGGATGGACAGGGAAGGAGGTGTGGTGGGCCGGGTACCGAGTCCCGGAAGAGTTCTATATGGAAGTCGGTAAGGGGCTCATTGAGTTAGGGTCATAAGTCCGACTCCTGAAGACTTGGCCATCGCCACATAACTTTTTGTTTTATATATTTTTTTTATATCCGAGGCCAATTGCAAGAAGGATAAGTTTGTTATATTGAGAGCTTGTACTGTAGTTGTTCGCAAAAAAACGTTTACAAATTGCTCGGAAAAACAAAAAAATTCAGGAGTCACCCCTTCTAAATATCTTCTTTATGGCTATTAAGAATCTATCTGCCAAGTTTGGTGCTTTGGACCAGTCGGTCACAATTCCAACCATTGTGCCACCTGACTACCCCTTAGAAAAATCCTGTATCTGCCACTGCTTCTTCCTTTTTAAATTAAAATTTAAGAACCCAGTTTCATACCAAAAAAAATAAAAAAATGACAAACTGTGCATTCATGTCTACTAAAAGTAGGGGGTGCTGAAGCATATTCCAGCACCCTAATTTAAAAAGTTGGGAGTGCTGCAGCACCCCCAGCACCCGTTCCAGCGGGCTTGTCACAATAATACGGGGCGAGTCAAACAATACGAAACCCAAATATCGGGACTATTGCTTTATTGAAGTTCTGCATGTAGCACATTTACAAAATCATGTATACAAGAGCCCATTTCATGAGCTTTCTTTTAGTACACGAATCATTCAAATCACGCATGTACTTTTCAAGTTACGGAATTTTAAACACAACCACCGTTTTAAGGTCCTGTCCACGGATCACCAAACAGGTGTGCGCTCTTTCAGCAAAACGAAAACAATTCACACACATCCCTATGTGATTTGTTTTCGTTTTACTGAAAGAACACACTGAACCCTTTTTGCAATCCGAAGGCAGAACCTTAAAACGGTGGTTGTGATTGCAATTCCGTAACTTGAAAAGTACATGAGTGATTTGAATGATTCTTGTACTAAAAAAAAGCTTATGAATAGGACTTTTAGTTCCTAGATTTCGAAAATGCTACATGCAGAACTTCTTTAAAACAATGGTTCCAACATTTGGGTTTCGTTTTTTTTTACTCATCCTGTATTCACTATCAGCAAAACCTGATTGAAAGACAACTCACCTTGTATGTCACTGTACGTCTTCTGCCCCAGTCCTCATGTGAAACCGAAAACAGCACACAATCTTAATGTTGTGGCGTGCTTTTCCGATACGCCTAATGCGATTACTTTCCGCCTTTGTCAAGTACACCGTGAGCCAAATGTCAATATTTTCCGTGCGCAAATATTAATACCGAATATTGACTTCGAACAAACGCATCTCAAAGAGCCCTTTAGATGTTACGTAACTGAGTCGGAATAAGAGTGCTTTACATAAACTGAGAATTTAAAATTGAATAAGAGGACATAAGAATACATGAATTAAAAAAAAAATCTCAAAATGTGGTGCTCTGGTTCTTCTTGTGGACCCCGAAATTCGTTCTCGCTCTAATAACACAAGAATAACACCAAACGCCCAATTTTCAATGGATGGATGTTTATATCCTACTTTTAAATGTTCTTTCCGATTAACATGAATTCGTTTAACCCCCTTTTTGTAACCCAATTGGGCGTATAGCAGGCCGTAGCTACAATCCCGGCCAAAATGGTTGGGACACTTCCTGAGCCTGCCACGGTCACCCACTTCCCCGCTCCCCGCTCCCCCGGTCAATGTTGTTCTCTCCAGCTGATGGAGCACATACCGCGCAATGAGAGACAACATTGAACGGGGGCCGGGGGGTTGGGGGCCCAACGAGGTTTGACCAGGATTGTAGTATCTCTTTATATTTATATAACACGTAGCCTACTCTAGTGGGTCAACTAAGTTTCTCGCTAGTAGGCTCAACTTTGAAATGATACTTTGCAAGTATTGGTACATGTATGCCTAATAATAGTCTAGACCTATGCGTTTTTTTCTTGTAATGAAACAAAGGATTCCTCAAAAGTGCCATAGGCAATGTAGCTCGCAATTCTGAAGAAACCTGTAGAGAGGAGACAATAAGAGGATATTACAATTTAAAGAGGGGGGAGGAAAAGCCCAGCAGAATATTCTGGGCAAATCCTACAAAATAGGGTGTGAGAACCCAATCCACATGTGATCATGGCAGGAATCGAACCCGGGTCATAGCGGTGGAAGGCGAGGAAAGTAACCACTGTGCCAATCTGACTCTCTGACCTGATGTCATTTCAAATCCATATGCTTAAAAGAAGAGCAAATATTTGTTTGTAATCTTCACGTGCGACGGAAAAAAAATTCCGTCCACACACCACTTTAGCAAGCAATCCGGGAACGCTGTCAATTCTATCACGGAGGCCCCCTTCAATGGCGAAAGAATTGCACTAGCTATTGTTTACAGATATATCCGCAAGGGGCTGTTGGTTCGTACAATAGCATGCACAATGTTTCTCCGCTGACGGAAGGGGGCCTAGCTCGTAAAGTGCAGTGATTGAGTGCCCTGATTCGTTTCTTAAAAAAAAATCAGGAAAAGGTCACTGACGTCACATGCCAACAGAAACAAGGAAATATCCTGGTGATTCTTTGAAGAACTATAGTTGCAATTCTGTTTCAATTGAAATTCACGATCAACATTGTTACCTTGATGTCTTCAGTAAAACACAATGAAACATTCATGGAATTTTCCCTTTGCAATGATATCTATTTTGGGTCCTTTAGTCAGTTTCAGAATGGACTCGTGTTTACAGTAGGACATTAAATATGACAGGAATGGTTTGAATTTCTGAGGAACGCATTGATTGATTTTACTCCGCTGGGTTGATATTGCGTTGTTGCGTGGCATATTCGAAACAATTCAGCCCTGCTATAGACTCTAAAAGCTGAGGTGTCGAATGCAACACTTGCATAGGTTCGGTCAGTGACCACTCTTTCAAAGTGTTAATTGAAACCAGCATTTTAAAAGTTAAGTCAAACACTTACAACAATGAAAATGTTTATTTAAAAAAGAAGAAGAAGTTAACACTTTTGAAAGTGTTGAATCAACTTGATCAACATAATGTTGTATCAACAGTTTAAGTGTTGGATTCAACAACCGCATTTGAAATGTTAAATCCAACACTTGCAACAATGAACATGTTTATTCTAAAAAAAAATCACAGTTAACACTTTCGAAAGTGTTGAATCAACTGGATCAATATTGTTGTATCAACCGTTTAAGTGTTGGATTCAACACTTTTAACACTGACCGAACCTACATCAAAAGCTGCGAGAAATATAGATGGCCAGTGTTCAGCAAACAGAGGGAGGAGGAACAGTATATGGAATTCTAGGCCAATACAAAAATACCCTATGATCAAATAGTTCATTGTCTTGAATACACGTGGAACTGGAGAGAAAAAAACAACACAATTATTGAAGGAAACTTCCCGGTAGCTATTCGATGTACAATATTATACTTTGTCAATCAAATCAACACACCTTTTCAATGAAAAGATTTCAATGACATGAAGTGGTTGAATCCGACCGGGGAACAATAGTGCTGTGGCACACGGTATGCCGTGTGCAGTAAACTAGTAGTATTCCCGGTTATATCCGTTCGGCAACCAATGTAGAGGCCGTCCGGAAAGTCGCCCAACCGCGAAATAAGGCAAGCGCGTGACGCATACACCAAAAATCCACTTTACAAACGGTAACACGATCGAACTGCAACAGAGACATGTATAAAGCTAGTCGGGATTCGTGACAACGTGCGTTGGGAGTTACTTGCGTTTTCGTCGCTTGTTGTGTGCGACTTATGTTGTTTGTGGTACCAACAACTGATCGGGGCGAATTGACGAACTCTCACACCTTGTCTCACCAGATTTTTTTGGTACAAACTCTGGGAATATAACAAGGAGGATCACACACCGGGTTATTTTCAGTGTCAACAGAACTCAGTAAGTTATTTGACCACTGATTTGTTTGGCATCCGGATGACCCACATGTCATTTTATGATTCATACGAAGAGAAAGTTCTGAAAGTTCGTATGCCTGCAATATACGAACAGAAACTGCAACTGACCAATCTGTCAGTGAATTATGTGATAATCCCTGCCATCTAAATACATTCTACTAAAAATTGACTGGAAAGCAGTCAATCTTGCACCCATCTGACCCTTATAGCAGTCAGGTGAGTGCGAGCTTGACAGTTTTCAGTCAAATCCAACCATTTTTTTTTTTTATTTTTTTTTTTACATATTTGAATACTCTAGTTTAGCTCATATACCGAACTAGGTTATTTCAACAAAATGAAACATTTTTTTTTCAGTGGGCCGCTTTGATAATTTTTGCGAACGCTTAGATCGAATTTTATTAAAATACTAGGAATTAGTTTCAACACATCAAGGTAGTATAAGGCGATGACAATTATCGGGTGAAATGTACTGTGGGGCAATTCCCTACCCGCCCCTTTTATGGTTTAGTGTTGATTAACAATAGGTCTGTAATCTGTAAGATTGTTATTATTAACACCATTCAGAACATCTCTTTTTGTTGGGGGGGGGGGGGGGTCGGGTTTTCACAAAATGGTTTCGATTTACTCTGCAAGTTGGAAAATGGGTTTCGAGGAGGGACAACGTGACATCACTGAAGGAAAGCTCTTAAAAAAAAAAAAAAAAAAAAAAAAAAAAAACCCAAAAAAGCTGTCAACATTTCTTTGGCACCACCATATTTTGGGTTTTTGATCGTGGATTGGGAAAATTGGCCTTTCGAGACATGAATTTGGTGAGCAATTTCCTTGTTTATAAAGCCACACTTCTCTCCTACCGACTGAAGCTATTTTGGACGATTAAGAATGAAATATATTCAGTCGGATTTTTGCTCCATTTTTCGCCAGTGTGACCCTTTCCAAACTTATCATTCAGTCAAATTTTCTCTCTAAGTCGTCCGGTTCCCGGTTTTCCTCTTTTGGGGGAAAAGGAGACTGACTTTGACTACATGATTGTTATTTTTTTTATTGGATCTTTCCAGCCATGGCGTACAAGCAAGGCGTTGCCTGTGGAGCCAGCGTGACACTCCTCATCGGTTCGGGGGTCTTGCTCGGCCTGTACGTGGCCTGCAGCTCGCTCTCGTGCAAGGCACTGGCTTTTTCCTTCTTTTCCCCCGTGTGGACTGGCGTTCTGGTAAGTCAGAATAAGTTTTATTGAAGCAAAACAGAAGCGGTAAAATTAGATTTTGGCAGCCAATTTGTGATACTTCTGATTCCCCGGAAACAAATTCGGTGATGGCAGCAGACAATTCCATCAGGCCTCTACACTGATTACGTGGGCTACAACATGATACTGTTTGGCGTTTGTTGGCAGGCAGCGTTCGTTGTTTCCTCTGACGGTATTCTAAACTCTTCAGTGATATGTTTTGAAAGAGTAACAACTATTTTGTTTTGCAACGTTGACCTTGTATAATTTACAAACTGGTATTAATTGGTACACATTCTGAAATCATATTTCAGTGTTTTACACCTGGAAGTACGACCCTCTTGTGAATCAATGTTGGTTCAATGGGCCCATATAATGTAATTTGTTTCATGCAGTCCATAGAAATGCACATTTGTGGCCCATTTAACTTTTTACGTTCAAGGTTTATTTGCCCTTTTCAAGGGTATTTAGGTGCGTTTTTTTTGTTTTTTTAATGCTAATGCAAATTTTCGTATTGATGAACAAACTCGTAATGCCATTTCAGTCATAAACCTCAATGTTACAGTTATTTCGGCACCAAAAGTTGCCAGAATGTGGATGTTTCGCCGTCGCCAGTTGTTTTCTTAGGGTGATTTATTGTTGTGTCAGTTATGGTAGTTGGTAGCGAATTCTTCTCGCAAAATATCTTCAACAAGCAAAATGTTAGGGTTCACAATCTTCACAGCTGGAACAGAAAACCGCCAAACTGAACAGTGTCTTCTTGAATTGTCATCACAACCACGCCCTAAGCTGTCCGGAAGAGCACGGGCAATTTTACACGTTGAAAGAAGTGCACTTTTTAATGAAATTATCAATACAAAAGGTATGTCAAATATGTTTTATACATTTCAGAGGAATAGAAAGTCGAACAAAAAATACGTTACTTAGAAAAATGAACTCCATGGACAATTTAAGTGTATTACATTGTTGGTTGAAATATGAAAATAAGAAATAAAAAACCAGGTACCACATAGATAAACGCATATGTATTTATTTTTGCGGAATTAAGTCAGTTTTGTAAATTTTTTCCTAAACCATAGGAACTCTAAAGACCTAGGTTTTAAAGTCCCAAACTGCTAGGACAAGGAAACAAAGGAAACTGCTACAGAATCCAACCTTTAAACATGATAAGATACTGAGAATGGACAATTAAGGGCTTAGTTAGGGCAAACAAACAAACAAACACACCAACAAACAAACAAACAAACACCCCTTGAAATCAACTTGTATATCCCACATTCCATACGTACTTTGATATTTTTATCACTACCCGAACGATGTGGTACAATGGCCTAATTCAGCTTTGAAGGTCGTTCGCGCGTGTTTTGTTCAATTATTTGTCCAAATCCAAATAGAAGATAAAAAAAGAGGGAAATTCCCTCGCATTCCCAACCCCGCGATGACTAGACTTTTATGGTGTGCAAATTTGACATTTAATCTCGAAATAAAGATATTTCTCATGTAATAGAGACGTCACTATTTTTCGAATAGAGATGCAGTGTATCTCTATTTTGCAATAGATATATCTCTATTCTTACAATAGAGATATTCACAAGATAGATTTGTGCGTAGGGGTGATGTTAATTTAGGTTTAAGATTTTAGGAATAGAGATATCTCTTTTTTTTCCAAATATTTTTTAGATATCGTTATTTAAAATATAAAAAGATGAGTGCTTATTGAAAAATAGATATATCTATTTTTATAAAGGTATCTTGCCCTGCGCTTTATCGATATATTTTCTGTAACAGATATTTTCCGGGATTGAGCGTTAAATGCACGCGAAAATAAATTGGAAAGCACACCATTCGAAGCAACCGATAAAGTGTCTAATTTTGTGTGTCTGTTTATCCGGATAGCTTATGGGAACTTCTTTTGTCGGGATCTTCATGTCGACAACGAAGTCGGAGAAAGGATGCGTAAGTTTGATTCTTCATTTTCAAGATTTGAACACATGGTTTATTTCTGACGTAAGGAGTACAGGGGGAAAACAAACCGCAATTTAATTCGTAGGATAAATTATCTAGTCGTGTTGACATACGGTCAATCGCAGAAAGTAAGGCGACTTAATCACATAAATTATCTCGTCAATTCGACTTACCCAAGTCGACATGACGACCTGTCGAGTTGCTTTATTTCGCCAAGTCAACTTCCCGAGGTCGAGATGACGACTTGCCAAGATGTATTCGAGAGAGATATTAACTCGCCCAATCGAGTTCCCGAAGTCGACTTGATGACACAAGTTGTCATGTCAACTTCGGGGAGTCAACGACTGGTCGACTTCGAAAAGTCGACTTGCCGAAATAAAACATCTCGAAAAGTCCACTTCGGGAAATTGACTTGATGATATTTTTATTAATTAGAATTTAATTTGGAAATGAATGTCTCAAAAATCTCAGAGAGTTCTTGAAACAGTTTTGTTGATATTTGACTCTGAAAAAAAAAAAAACCCACGTATGACCAGATACTTTTAACAAGATAACTATTTCTTCATTTTTTGGCATACTGAGCCCTTCTGGTGACTTACATGATTTTGCTTTTGAAAATTTAAGGAATTGATAAAATAAAATTCGGAAGCCCTGAAAGGTCTCGAAAACAACACTTTTAGTTTCCTCTCTTGTCGACTGTCTTCAACAGGGCGGCATATATCTGTTTCTCAGCATCTTGGGCATCCTAGCCACGATAGGCTGCGTGTGCCTCACGCTGTACGCGTTCTTCTGGGAGTTAACCCTGACCTTGACTTCCTCCGTGACGACTTATACTAGGACGTCCTACGGAAGCTTCGCCACCACAACTGCCGTGGCACCGACCACGCTGGCCGCCACGCAGACCGAGCCCGGCGTGCTCTACGCATTGTGGCTGTGCATGATGTGCGTGGCGTTCGTGTTGAGCATTGTGACCTGCGTGACGTCATGCCAGTACTGCTGCTGCTGCCAGGAGCCAGTCGTGAGCGAGGTTCGTATAGACTTCAACATTTAATGACTTCAACATTTAACACGATGTTGGTTAAAATTTTAACCAACCAAATTTTAACCAGCGTTTTTTAGAGTGTAAATATATTTAGAATTCAAACATGTTTACAAACTGATGGCAAGAAACACTGTTTAGAAAAGTGTTTGATCGCTATACACAGTTTTTGCAATGTAATGTCAGGAGGTGTCCACCCTTGATCCCCCGTTGTCGCGTTCCAACTTCAGGTTTTTCGAGTTGCCAATGACAGTTGGTCAATTTCGTCAAACTTTATTGGCTGGCTTTATATCTGTGCGTCCAAAATGTCATTTGGCTGCGCCAGGCAGTAACACACACGTCTATCCGGGGAGGGGCCTATCAGCCGCTGTCGTAGACGCATTTGTAATTGCAAGCCGTCGCCATGTTATTCGGACACCGTCGTTTCTGGCGAGTTGCATCAGTTTCGATACAAACAGGGCAAAACTAATATTGAATACGATTTATATTTGAAAGAGATTGCGAAATCATATTGTTAGATGTTTGAGTTCTGCTGTTATGAAGATTCAAGCGTTTTGTTTGCTGTCTTCCGGTGACGTCAAGGCTGTTTCGTTTTAGCTTCCGCGTTCGTGACAAGGATTCTGAGAAAATTAACCCGGGAGCAATGCACTGTATGAATGTTCACCCATTCGTGAATGATTTCGGATGTTGGAGCAAGTTTCCAAAACCTACTGCGGGGAAGCACGCAGCCTGAAACTCTAAACAACCCGTGGTACTTCGAGTTCTATTTGATCTGACACTTTTCCGGGTCAACAAGGATACCTTTCCCGGAGATCGTAGCAAGGTCATCTTTATTGCGGGGGGGGGGGGGTAACAATATGTGAACAGGTACTCGCACATCCATGCTGAAATGTAGACAGGTTTTCTTCTCCTGACACTTGGCGTCCGTAACATCAAACAGTTGGGGGAGGTACCATCTTCAAACGGGGGCGCTGTTTAAACAATACATGGCGCTTTCAGGGCGGCACAATTGCCGACTCGCACGAAACTCCCCCCCCCCCCCCCCCCCAAAAAAAATGCACTCGTAAGAGGCCGCTGGTACAAAAGGGCCCTTATGTTTAAACAAAACAAGGACACTTGTTTAAAAAAAGGCACTTTTAAATTAAAAGAAAGGCACTCTTCACAAATATGGGGAGGGGATATTGGTGCTCCTATCCCCAGTTAAGAATTCTGTCTTTACGCTATGTATACTGGCTTGGGCCTATCCCATTCTATCCATACAGAAAAAGTCTCTGAAGATAGCAACCCTTCTCTTTCATATCCATATTTTTCGTTCTTGCTCCTTCTGCAGCAGAGAATCGTTGTGTTGACACAAGGCCAATCGCCCCAGAACATCTTTTTGGAAAACACCAACACAATCGTGAATCAACACCATCCACAGGCCATAGTCCTGAACACCATGCAGCAAACGAGCAATCAGCATTACTTCCAACAGCCGTACCCGGTAGCACAGCAACCCTTTCCGGGGCACATGACGGTCCAGCAACCCGTTGCCTTCCAGCCGCCCCCACCGTACTCCGCGGTGGCATCTACGGGTCCTCCCTGCCATCCCCAACCTACTCCCGTGGCCTCACCTCCGCAGCAACAACTCGCCCCACCGCAACAGCAGCAATGTGCACCACACGCGCAACCTTCAGCCCCACATTCCCCTGCCAATCAAACCCATCCCCATCCGCCGCGTCCAAGTGGGTCGCAACCCAGTCGAAATGAGCTCATCGACAGCCAACCGCCACACTCCGCCCGGCCAAGCGACAGTAGCACACCGTCCGCGAGTGTTTACCAGCCGCTGATCCATGAAACTCGCCAAGGGACGGCGCCGGACATACAGCACTCCTATGAAGAAAACCCACAGTTTACCGGCGAGGAAGACTACGGCCACTCGTACACCTACATCGACGCCGGGCCAGCCACCAATTCAACGGTTCATCGCAGCAACTACAACCCTCAGCCTACCCCTTCTGTTGCCGACGATGGGAGTTACATCGAACCCGCCACAGGCGGTGAGTCTTCAACACAGGCGGACAGTCAGCTGTACGACTACGTTGAACCGCCGTCGGACGAGGAGTACGACGACACCCAGGTCGACCCGAATCCAAGTGCCACTCCAGCGGTCGACTCCTCTGAATACGTAAACAAAGCCATCGGAAAACGTGCGAAAAAGCCGAAACGTACGAGGTAGCTGGTCTGTCCTGTCATTGAATGGTATTTAAGCACATGAATTATAACGACCATGACGCTGGTGTTGAAAGTGTGGACAACGCTGTCACCTCGCTCCAATATTGGGTCATATTTTCACCGAATGGGGGGGGGGGGGCTGCAGCGACGCCATTTTGAATGAATAAACGTACGCGAATGCAAGGTTATTTGTGTAAGTGGAAAAGTTGTCATAATTTAAAAAAAATATCAAACAAAACAAAACAAACTAAAAAAAAACCCCAATAAATCAAATTAGAACATTGTGTGAATTTCAAGTTAGAGCAATTTACTTCAGTTATTGCTTCAGTGAAGGTAATATAGGTTTCCCGGCCAATTCCCTAAAATGTTCATTCACTTCTGAAAATCGATCATTCACTTTCGTCTGAATTCGAATTCACGTCCTTAATCCCATTTCAATTCCACGAAAGTTCAATCGTTTTCATTGTCTGTGCATTCGGTTTTGAGAAACAGACAATTACGTAATTACCTGTGCATTCATTTATGCAAGCATACGTTTTCTAAATTGATTTCAGGTACAGCTAAATTGATTGATGGTTAATGAAAAAGAAACCCCTAATTGTATCTGGTGCTGAATGCATTAAACTAAAAGTGAAATAGAATGGTAAATGTTTGAAATCCCCCTCTAAAAGCGAAAAAAAGATGTCTTGAACGAATAGATATAAACGAAAGGTGCCGCTCAATCACTTAATTATTGATTGAACTGAAATGGAATCGAATGCTCTGGTAGCGAAAATAAAACGCGTGTTCAGAGCGGTTCTCAAATTCAGACGAAAATGAACGACCGATTTTCAAAAGTGAATGAACATTTTAGGAATTGGCCGGAAAAAACCTTTATTTTAATATTTGTTGTAAAAGAAGAGTCGTACTATCTAGCGCCCCATCGGGCGAGAATGGGCAATTGGAATTTCGGCCGGCACATCGATTATACCTTGGACCTAAACAGCAGAGTTTAATCCATCAAAAGTCCATTTTCAATTGAGGTAGCAACTAAAAGAAAAAGCTCATTAACGAACGTGCCATTGTCACGGCTTCTTTGAGTATAGTAGCTTGCTACTTCACTCGAGACGACATGGGCCGTTCTTTACTTACCCATGGTTGACACTATTTGCTACCGCAAACTATGGAAGGCCAACGTTGTAAAATTCAAGAATAGTTATTTATGTTTTAACCCATTGGATTGTGGGAAATACGAAATGACCAACGCACGCTACCAACGACTTACTAAAACCGTCACTGAGGGTCGTTATATCCAAGTTTTGGTAAAATAAATTGCAAAACCACAGATTATTTTATAGCTTTATGTCAGCCATTAAACAAAGGGCATTTTTAACGTCATCTTTAATGAGGGTAAACTCCGATCAGTGCAAGACACTGCTTTCCATTGAGGCCCTCAAGTTAATGAGAACTGTGAGACCCATTATGTAACACCTTATAAGAATTTACAAGGTGCTGCGGCGCAAATTGCAGCCACTGCCAGAAACACCGGGGCAAACCCCTTCTCTAAGCGATAAGCGTAACTGGGTTCTTTATTGTGCATTACACAACACACGGGACCTACGGTCTTGCGTCCCATCCAAAGGACGAAGCAATAATGGTAAAGTGCCTTGCTCAAGAGCACAAGCACCATGTTCCCACGGTCAGGATTCGAACCCATGTACCACGAACCCATTTTGCGGGCCATGAACTTGTAAAAACAAACAGAGTGGTTGGAAGCCGTAGACAGGACTGCGAACTGTTCCTGTGAAATTTGGTGAAGCTAAGATGGGCCCTAAAATCGCTTTAGTTTGAAACGGAGCGTAGGTCTCATTTTTTTTTCAAAATGGCGATGGGCTGATCCTTTTTGGGGTGATCATTTTTGGAGGGTGATTTCTCCCAAATACCATCGGATTACCACAAAAGGGTAACAACATTTTCCAAAGGTCAATATTAAATATCGTCGGGTCAAAGCAGAAAGGGCTTATACCATGCTTTAGGTCAATTTTTGTTTTTTGATGGTAACTGTTTACTCTCAGTACAGTCTTTATCCCAAAGAGGTTTTATGTTAATTATTCATCCAATTAAGGAGTAATTAAGACATTTTAAAAGGACTTATACTGATCTTGGCATACAACTGGGAGCAAAAAGGCCTTATAAGCTGTTAAGCCTTTTTCCCTTTAAACAGGCAGTCACCTTCTGTTTGAAATAACTGATAATGTTGGGAAATGCAAAAAGGGCTTAAGAGATTGTAGGACCTTTTTGCACGCACCCTTTTGTCCTTTTGTCATTTCTTTCAGTGTAATATTGGGATGCACCAACAGGTCTTATTTTATTAATCAGCTGTAATTAAATAATTAGGTTCCAAAAAAATGGCAAGTAATACTTAACCGTTAAATTAAAGAACCCCCTTTAACAATATGCATAATTTAAACTGTTTAGATAACATTTTGCAATTTTCAAAGCAGTGTGAATCTTCAAACTCGATTATCTTGAAATACTGGAAAATGCTGAATAGGGCTTATAAGTCCTTTCTGCTTTGACCCGACGATATTATCATAAGACGATCACATTTTATTACTACCCCTCCATTGATTAGGCCAAAAAAAGTCTCCGGTTTCTGGTATGGAGCTTGCCCAAAAAGTGGTGCGGCGACGCGGCTTTTTTTTTTTACCTGATAATTTTTGCTTCAAATGTCGGCTGATGACTGCAAATGGTGCCCGACTAAACTTAGTGCAAATAATATGGGAGTCCAGAGAGGCCACATTAAGCTTATTCTCGACCATAACCCAATCTAAAAACACATTAAAATTGTGCAGCAGCAGGATTCCAGTCAAACCCGTGAGTTTGGCGGTTTTGACACATCATCTTTCATTGAAAAAAAAACTTTTTCATTTTGCCGACGCGCATGGCTACGGCGACGCGCGCGCATACCAGAAACCGGAGACTTTTTTTTGTTGGCCTTAGTGTGGAGTTTTATTTTCTGCGGTGTTATATATTATTATTGACCGACATGCATAAGCTCCGTTAATTAGGAAAATACACACACAGTTTGTCAGATCATGTGATAGGATTACACATATACTTCAATAGTTAGCTAATCAATATTAATAATTATGTCTTTCAAATTACTATTAAAAATTATAATTGGTGTATATATATATCAATTTAAATGACTCGAAAATTGTTCCTGGTTATGATGTAAATGTTATAGTCTTTAATATGACAATGCTGTAAAAAGTTTGGATATGCAATTTTTTTTCTTTATCTCAGTCGATTTACTCGGCTAATAGCCATAATGGTTGGCCTGAGTGTGTACATTTTGTTAATTATCTGGACTGAACCAGATGTTCTTACAGCACATAACTGTAAAATATTGCCACAGTTTAAAATGGAAACTGAAAGTTTGCTTATTAAAAACAAAATCAACTAAAACCTCAAAGTCCTGATACTGCTCAATTATATTTGTGTTTTGAATGTAATGCTTTGAATTGGGCTTTTATATCCTAGATTTTAAAGGTGCTTTGTGAACTTCACTAAGGCAATGGTCCCGACATTTGGGGTTCTTTTTTTTTACTCACCCTGTAGTAAAGCAGACTAGACATGGCTATTAGTTTAGGTTAAGAGTTGGTATTAGTTTGGTGAGATAGTGTGACGCACCTCGTCCCCAGGTCAGGCTCACTTCGCCGACAGAGGTTTACGTGCAATCCATAACGAAAAATGTCATGAATATTTAACACACGATCCGTGAATGCAATTTCACATCCCGCTTTCATAAATTAGATAGTGCCTGAAAATAGTTCATTGCCCACGGTATTTTCTGGGCCGGTGCATGCAGTGCGCGTGAATCAGCAACCATTGTTGCACTGGATTGACCTCTGATTGACCTCACGACTATTCCAGCCAATGAGCTCCCCTCATAGGGATGCATGTGAGTTGTTTTCGTTTTGATGAGAGAACACTTACTTTTTATGATCAGTGGACACAACTGGTTTGTGTTCAAAATGCCGTACCAAGTATATGAGTGATTTGAATGATTCTTGTACTAGGAAAAACACACATTAAATGGGTTTTCAGATCCTAGATTTTGAAAGTGGTACAGGCATAATTTCATTCAAAAATTGGTCCTGCCATTTGGGTTGCGTCTTTTTTTTTTACTCACCTTGTATATTATCTAGTGCGCCCCTATACGATATCATTCATATTATGGGTGTCCATGACTTGAACTCGAAACGAGTGATAAGAGACTCGGACTAAGACTCAAAGACAGTGACTCGAGACTCGACCCCAGTGACTCGACTACAGCACTGCGGCTATAGGGAGTCACTGCCACGAGTTACTACCTCGCCGTATAGTGAGTTGCCAGGATGCAACTATCAGTCACCTAGCCGTAATGAGTTATATAGGCCTAAATTTTTTGGTTAAAATGACGCTTTCGCCTATTGGTCTTTCTTGACACGGACAGCTCGAAAACACGGGTCATTTGTGAGCATAACAAATAGAAGGCCAAATAGAACCAGGGCTCCGCTTTATTGGGATCCGGAGACGAAGCAGGACCTAGGGTCGGAGTCAAAGTCGTGTGGTGTGATATTTGAATCTATGAAATACCGACTCCTTAAAGCTTTGTTCATGCCTGAGTCAAGATAATTAGGACAGTGACCAGGGGCGTAAATCCGGGGTGGGGGTGGGAGGTATATACCCCCCCCCCCCCACTTTTAGACAGGCAAGGAATAGGCTATTTATTCATCCCCCCACTTTTTTCGCAATGGGAAAAACAAAATGCGAATTTTGAGGTATGTTTCGAACATCCCAACCGCCTAAATGAATTCAATAGCATTGAAAAGTGGAGAAACAAAGTACAAAAGCTTTTAAAATGCACTGTTTTGATATATTAAGCGCGAATATACATGTTGATATACATATATATCCTGAAGGTTGAGCGCCCTTAGTGTAAAGTGGTGTCCCCCCCCCCCCACTCGCCACTGACAGTGACAGGTCACGTGAGAGGGTTAGATCCAAGATAACGGAACCAGATTTCATAGGGGTCATATTTGCATATGACACCGGCACCGGATCCATAGGTGATGCCCAAATGTAACTTTTTTTGTCTAATTTGTTTTGACGACCTTCCATGTCTCAGAACTGGCATTTGTGCATAGACCGTACCCACTGGGCGTATTCGAAACCCCGTTCTCGTGTTGAATAAACACGAGAACAGGGTTCCGAATGTCGAGAACAAACAACATGCGAACGGTATTCGCAAACAAGATTCTCACTCCCCACTTATTGGGGAGTGGATGAAGAACGTCAAGAACAAAGATGACGGACTTAGGCCCCTACCACAACTTGCGTTAATATTTATGTATACAATTGAAAGTATTCATTCAGTGCAGGAGCAGTAACGATAAAGAATAAATTTGTACCTGGTATTTGAGTGGGCTTGTCAGCCTTGTCTTTGTCATTTTT